AAATGGTATCTCTATTTGCAACTTTTTGAGAAAGCGCCATACCGCTTTCCACAGGGGTTGCACCATTTTACACTCCCACCAACAGTGAATAAGGTGGTTTTTTTTATTGTATTACTTTTAGGTGTACCGTCAAATCAGATCTGACTGGTACAGGAGAAGAGTGCCCCCTTCTTCTCCAGCAGAGCATCTGGTGGATTTGAACTGCATACCCCTGGGATTGCAGTGCAGTGTTTTGCCACTAGGCCACCAGAGCTCCCTTAAGGCATAAACTGTTTACATTCATTTAAGGTAGGCAAGCCAGCAGAACTAGAGCTGTTGAACTTGATCAAGCCTTAGATTTGTGTGAGGTTTGATTCATGTCTGTCCCCTGAACAAAAAGTAGAACTGCCCTACAAACTTTGTTGTTAGGAGCTGCTAGTTGGCTCCAACTCCTAACAATTCTGTGGGCAGAACAAAATCCTACCCGACCCGCTGCCATCCTCACACAGTGTATTAAGCCCGTTGTTCCAGTCTCTGTCTGTACTTCTCAGCAAGGACTTCCCCTCTCTGGCTCACCCTCTGTTTTATTTTTCCAGGCACAATGTCCTCAAGGGAAAGGGTGGAATCACAAGATCTTTTCTTCCTGAGAGCATCTTTTGGGTTCAAACTGCCCACCTTCTGACTAGTGGCCAACCACTAGTAACCTGCCCAAAATGCACAATCTGAAGTCATTAGGCAACACCAACAAAGTCTATTTGAGAAACCGTCTACAGAGTAATAACCTTAAGTCCTCAAGATCATAAAAAGCCTGAGGTAGTGTTTTGCACACAAAGGTTGGATACTGGTGTAGCTGATTTAATCTTCTAAAGTCTCTCACTTGCTATATAAAAAATAAACTCATTGCCACCAAGTTACTCCAACTCAACAGCAGCCTGCCTCTATCAAACGACAAATTTGGTTTGCATCCGAGTGCTTAACCATTGTGCAACCAGCTCCTCTGTATCCATCTACCTGTGAATAGATGTTAGGTTGTGTCATGCTACTTATAGCAACCCTATGGAGAACAGATCTGAACCTTGTCCTGTGCCGTCCTCTCCCTCTCTGATATACTTGAGCTCACTGTAGTCACTGTCAATCTATTTTGAGAATCTTCCTCTTTTTCTACTGGCCCTCTTAGCATGATGTCCCTTTCCGAGGACTAACCTCTACTAGCAGCATACCCAAGTATTTGAGATAAAGCTTCACCATCCTTGTGTCCACGGAGCTCTCTGACTGCACTTTCTCTAAGACATACTTGTTCGTCTGGCAGTCTCGGGTTGTTAGTACTCTTCTCCACCCCATAACTCAAATGCATTAATTCTTCCATCATCCTTACTGTCCAGGTTTCAGATGCATAGCAAGTAATTGAAAAGATTGCCTGAATTAGATGCGCCTTCGTCTCTAAACTGATATTGTTACTTGCTCTTTAGAACTTTGAAGAGGTCCTTTGACAGCAGATTTTCCCCATCTGATTTTTTTTTTATTTTATTAGTTTTAATGAACATTTACAGAGATTTTGGGTTTTCATTCATTCATTGTGCACTGTTTTCTCCACCCTCCTCCCCAGTTCGTTCTTCTTCCCCCCCATGTCTGTTTTAATTGTCCAATTGCCACAGTGCTTGTCAAAGCCAGTTCTGATTAATCTCCTTTGTCAGTGTGTCCCTTGCCATTCCCTATCACTCCTCCCTGAGAGAGACTTCACCCTGATTCATAAGGAAAAGGGGATGGCGTATTCTCTTAGCTACTTCCTGCTGAAAAGGGACGCTGTGGGTTTCAGGGTGAATGTCTTCTCTCACTGCTCCAAAGGGCCCCCTTGGCAGTAGGAAACACATAGACTATTATGGAGATTGGAATTTAGCCATACATGTTGATTATAGATCCAAATAAGATGAAATCATTGACAACTTCAGTCTATTCTCCATGATGTTGCCTGTTGGCCCAGTGATGAGGATTTTTGTATCTTGATGTTGAGATGTAATATATATAGATAACTGCATTTTGAAGCCATGACACTCTTGTGCCTTGGTGGTAAGGAATTGGCTCTGTCATGCAAAGATAACAGGATTTGAGTCCACCAGTTGCTCTGTGGGGGCAAAATGGGCATTCTCCTTCTGTGTGATTTATTGCCTCTGAAAACATGCTAGAAGATAAGCTACAAGTTCTGACTTTATGATACACAACAGCAAACTTAGAAGCAATGGTGTTAGGTGCTCGTAATGTTCTAGATTTGGCCAATGGGAGCTCCATAAAACTGGCTTCTGTGGCTTGGAGATGGCCCCGTAATTCTTTGAGCACTTCTTCAAAGCACAAAGATGCTCCAGGTACATCTTGTACTTTATCTGCCCCTATTATTCTAAATTTTTCTGACTCCTTTTAAGAGGGGAATGGTATTTTGATAGGTACCACGTGTACTTTTTGTTGTCCTTGTTCTTACTCCCAGGCACTCAGGATACAGAACCAGGGACTCTACACACATTCATAGTTAAATCTATT